TTCGGGGAGTGGTGGCGCAGAGGTTAGAGAGGTGGGCCTGTGATCCGAAGAGCGCCGGTTCACGCCTCGGCCCCGATAACATCAAAATTGTGGGTGGGGTAGGTGAAGCACCCACACCTGCCCCCACCCCCATTTGCCCCACTCTGGGCCCATGAGCAAGGCCCTTAACCTACCATCTGCTCCCTAAACAGGTCTCTCTTAAAAATGAGTTCTCATGGCTCAATGAAACTACCTGGATAAATAAAGGGTAAATGAAAAAAAAAAAAAACATATATATATATATACATATATATATATATATATATATATATATATATATATATATAAATACACATGCATACATTAGAGCCCAACAGATATTATGCGGCTGGCTCTAGGTATAGGTCAGTCTGTTGCAGCCTGAACACCCAGTGAGTTCATAAACTTTAATCACCTGACTGACTGGTTGTTGACGAGCTGCCGTTTGATCAAAAGGATTATTTAAATTAAAAACAAAGTGAGGCTGAACTTTGTGTTGTTTGACCTTAAAAGTTTCACAATGTGGAACTGTTGAAGCTGAACGCTGTCAATGATTTAAGCATCTTGTGGAGGTTTGAACAGTAATCGTGCCTGTTGGCTCCAGGTCAGCTTGAAGAACCAGAGTGACCGTCTGAACACAGCCAGGACCAAACTGTTGTCTTTAAATCAGTCTGCAAGTTTCAAAAGGTTACACATGTCACAGCTGTCCATGCCACAACTTTACACTGCTGTCAGTTTCAGCTGTCCCCAAGACATGTCCAATCTGTTTTACTACTTTAGTGGTCCTCACAGTCTTTGTTCTCTTCTGCTTTATTTACAGTCAGACATCTTTAATATTTTAATATGATCAAATATAAAAAAAGTTTTTTATTTAAACTGTATAAACAAATGTCAGCAGCAACATATTACCATATTTGGCTGTCCGCGGGCTACTTCCGGTCGCGCGGCTGGCCAATGAGCGTTCAGATCAGGAACAGGAGTCTGGACACCGTATCCGGTCTCCTCATCAACAACAGACCCCGTCTGAGACTCAAAAGTAGTCCAGGTTTACTTTATTCATTTTTATACAGTGAAGTGCTCTAAATGCAGCGTACAAATATTACAAAGTATTTTCAGGTAAACAAGAGATCAAAGGAAGGCGGGAACTCCTTAAAGTCCAGGACGTGTTAAAGCTTAGTGTGGTTCTGGTGCCAGAGCTGCACGAGACCCTGAGCCACCCAGCGCTCCAGGATCCATCTGGACCTGGATCTAGCTGGACCAGTCTGAGTTCTGTGCAAATCCAAAACAAACGGAAGTGGAAGACTAGTTGAGTGCTCCTGGACAGCACGTGAAGGTGCCCCCCCCACCCCCAGTGTTCAGTAGGCCTGGAGCTGCTGGGTCAGGATGAGCTGACAGCCGCTGCTCACGTGCTCCATGACCTTCTGTTTGAGGAGGGCCAGCTCGTCCCGGAGGACATTAGCGGAGGACACCAGCTCGGTGTTCTGGCTCTTCAGGTTCTTGACCCGCTCCTCCAGCCTGGAGATCCGCTCCAGCTTCCTCTTCCGGCACTTGGACGCGGCCACCCGGTTCCTCATGCGCTTCCTCTCGGCCTTGATGCGCTCCTGGTTCTCCATGTCGATGGGGGACAGCGGGGGGGTGTCCCCGCTCATCTCGGGCACGGTCTGCGGCTCCTCTTTGAGCGCGTGCAGCCGCCGGTGCTGCGGGGCGGCCGGGTAGCTGTCGGGCCTCTCGGGTCCGGAGGTCCGGCTGAACGCGGCCAGGCTCGTGTACTCGGGCGGCTCCGCGCGCGCCGAGCAGCTGTACGGAGCCCCCGCGCTGGCACCGCCCCCCGGCCCGGACACGGCGGGCGGCGCGTCCGGGAGGGCGGTGGGTATTTGCTGGTAGTGGAGCTCGGCCAGGGCCCGCACGAAGCCTTCGGCGAAGCCTTCCTGCTCGTCCGTGGTGGTCTTGGGCCCGAGGAAGTGGGTCGGGGTGGGGGTCGTGAGGCCGTTGCAGGACTGGATAATGAGCCGCTCCAGCTCCGGGGAGGCCAGCTTCAGGAGGCCCACGTCCGGGGACGTGAGGATGTCCAGGGCCTTGGCCCCCAGCTGGGCTTTAAAGCTCTTGGGCTGGTTCAGGTCCAGAGTCATGGTCTGTTTGAGGGTTCTGGGGTTGAAGCCGAACCCAGCCGAACCGTCCTGCTCGCAGTTGGACGCAGCTTCGTCGTAAAAAGTCGCTTCCATTTTCCCAGACATAAAGTTCGAGCCTTGTTTCCACAGAAACTCACAGACTGTCCTCGAGGCAGACTCGCTCTATTGTTGAACTTCCACCCGCATGACAACTTCGTGTCCCAGGAAAAGTTTTCTTCTGGGTCTTCGTGGGTCTCATGGACAAACAGAAGACCTTCCGTGTTCGTCGAGCTCCAGGTGTCCCCCTCAGGTCCTGTCTGTGGACTGTCCTCTCCGTGTGGAAACAAAAACAACAAACCTCGGCGGTTTCCTTCCAACGTGGAGACTAACTTTATCTCCTCACAGCTGCGGCTCCGCGGAAAATAACAATGATGTCATTTCTACGGGCTTTCATTGGCTGGACGTGATAAAATAGGCGGGGATTAGATCATGACACGCACGTTGCTCCGACAACAGGGTTTAGCCCCGCCTGTCCCCGCGATGGATTGTGGGATTAGGTAATGCAGGCCGTGGAGCATTCTGGGATTACGTAGTGTTTTTGAATATTCAGTTACCGCGCCGATCAGAAGCAGAAATTAATCCACCAGATTATTGTTTTATTGTCTAAACACATTAAATAAAACAATGTATAATGTTCAGGATGTGAGCAAAGAGTTTATTAAAAAAACCTGCAATGTTCTTCAGAGTTGTGTTCTTGCAGTTTGATGGCCATGAATTTTGTGCCAAATAGAAAAAAGGAAAAACTAAACAAAAGGAAAAATCAAAATTTGCCGTTATGCTCACACGACAAATTAACCGGAAACCCTTTTTTATCCATTTGAATGCATCTCTACACATTTAATCCGTGGAGTTTGGAGCACTTCCTGTAGTTTATAATCTCATAAACTGAACCTTTCATCAGTTTGACTGTTTTGCTTTAAAGTGTGGTTGACCAGTTTAAACATATCCTTTAAAAATGTAATACAATTGGTTTTACCCAAAAAGTGCACACATCCTCATCACCTGTCTTGATCTGGCTCTGCTGTATCTCTACAGCTTTACGTAGCGATGACTTCATGAAATTCTTTATAAATAAATTTACTGTATTTCAATTAGAGAGAAAATTCAAACCATCATTCCTACTATTGCCTCTGATTCCCTGTCATATGAGGCAGCTTTAAATATTACTAGAACCTGATTTATGTTTGGACTGTTTTTGTCCTGTTGAACTCTCTGAATTGTCAAAAATAATAGCTTCATCCAAACCATCCACATGTCTGCTAGATCCCATCTCAACCAGACCATTTACAGAGGTATTTCTTCTAATTAATATCTCCATTTTGGATCTGCTTAATTTGTCTTTAATGAAACCTTACATCCAACACTTTAAGGCTGCTGTAATTAAAACTTTAATTAAGAAACCTAATCTATAATTCAGGAATTACCTGAATTATAGATTAATTATATAAAGAAAATTAATTATATAAAGAAAAGCTTTGCAGAGAGTGGTGAAGGCTGCACAGAAGACTGTCAGAGTCAGCCTCGCCACTGTCACAGACATCTACACCTCCAGATGCATGAAGAGGACCACTTGCATCATGAAGGACCCCACTCACCCAGCACACACACTTCTTGCCCCGCTCCCCTCAGGAAGGAGGTTGAGGAGCATTAAGTGCAGAACCACTAGACTGAGGAACAGCTTCTACCCTGAAGCTGATATCATAAATCCCTAATCAGGATTATCACTGTGAAAAAATAAAATCACTGTAATGCAACTTTGATTGTTGATATGTACTGCTGATTATTTCATGCTGCTGATCTCATGCTGCTGATTTTTTTCATGCTGCTCTATTCATTCATTCGTACTCATCCATCCACAAAGACTCATGTTCATGCTGCTGTTGTTCGGAGTATTGTTTTGCACTGTTAGCGACTAGCTTATATCTTAGATCTTTTATCGTACTGTTTGGCGTTCATTTAGCGTATATCTTAGTTTATATCTTAGAACCTTATATACTGCTTCTTTTTACTCTTTATATTTTTGCTATTGTTGGATGTAACTGGTACCCTGTGTACACAATTTTGTTCCATCTTATGTACCACATGTGGTGTGAATGACAATAAAGAACCATCCATCCATCCATCCATTTTCTTTACCCGCTTATTCCATTTTGGGTCACGGGGGTCGCTGGTGCCCATGTCCAGCAATCACTGTGCGAGGGGCGGGGTACATCCTGGACAGGTCGCAAGTCCATCACAGGGACACATAGAGACAAACAACCATTCACTCTCTCACTCACACCTAGGGACAATTTAGAGTTACCAATCAGTCTAACATGCATGTTTTTGGTCTGTGGGAGGAAACCGGAGTACCCGGAGAAAACCCACGCATGCACGGAGAGAACATGCAAACTCCACCCAGAAAGGCCCCTGGACCGGGGTTTGAACCAAGGACCTGCTCGCTGAGAGGCAGCAGCTCTACCAGTTGCGCCACCGTGCTGCACAATAAAGAACCTTGACCTTGAATTCTGGCCAATTATAGACCTATGTCGAATCTAACATTTATCTAAAAAAATCTTGAGAAATAGTTGTAGGGGCAATTGCAGTCAGGGTTTAGAGCTCATCATAGCACAGAAACAGCACTGGTGAAAGTCATTAATTATATTTTCATGACCTCTGATAATGGACTTGTGTCTACACTGGTCCTGTTAGACCTCAGTGCAACATATGATACAGATGATCACAATATTTTACTACAGAGACTTGACTATGATATTGGGCTTGAAACAGGAGGTTTCAAACCAGCTTCCTGTTGGAATCTCAGAAGCAGGCTTTTAAAACAATTCATTCAAACGTTATTTAAACAGATTCGTCCCATTGAACCACAAGGACTCATTTACAAGAGAGACCTGGCTTTTAACAAAGAGTGATGACAACAGTGGATAACAGCGACAACAATAGACAATCAGAAATGATTCATACACATTTATTTAAAAATATTTTTTACAATTGAAAACAAAATGATAATTAATAGGAGCAAGAAACGTAACAAAAAACCAGCTAGATTACGAGGCCTGTCGAAAACTAAAAACAGGAACATGTCCGCATTGGTTTTTGCCAGGAACTTAACAGATGTTTGAAACCACTTAGCGAGATCAAGGTCGGGAGCTTCAGATCTTTTTGCAAGATATTCCAGGAAACAGGAGCAGAGTAGGAGAAAGTTCTTTTTCCTAGTTCAAAACAATCAATCATCATGTATAACAATGAAATGTTTTGGGCCAGATGGCCGACTTGTTACTCACAGAAACTTACACACGCTTTGAAGACCTGAACAGACCACCCAGCACCAGACTCACCTCACCACCGGATGATGAGCATCTCAGTGTGACCTCAGCCAAAGTAAGGAGTACCTTCAGGAGGATTAATCTGCACAAGGCAACCGGCCCAGACAACATCCCCTCACTTACCCTGGAGACAGTTCCTACCTGTCTGAAGACTGCCACCATCATCCCAGTCCCAAAGAGCTCTTCAGTGACAGGTCTGAATGACTACCAGCCAGTGGCCCTCACCCCGATAGTCGCTAAATTCTTCGAAAAACTGGTCATGACCCACATCAAAACAACCATCAACATAAATGAGGTCCCTCATCAGTATGCATACCGTGAGAACCGATCAACAAAGGATGCCATCTCCTCTGTGGTCCACACTGCTCTCACCACCTGGAGCAGAAAAACTCTTACGTCCGTATGCTCTTTGTGGACTTCACATCTGCCTTCAACACCATGATCCCCCAAACCCTGATGGACAAACTATCCACACAAGGACTAAGCCCCTCCATTTGCAACTGGGTACGAGACTTCTTAACAAACAGACCACAGTCAGTGAGGATCCACAACTTCTCCACTTCCACCATAACCCTCAGCACTGGCTCTCCTCAGGGATGTGTGTTGAGCCCCCTCCTGTTTACTCTGCTCACATATGATTGTGCAGCTACCCTTCCAGGCTGTCACATTGTAAAGTTTGCAGATGATACAGTGGTGGTGGGATGCATCACAAACAATGATGAGTCCAGCTACAGGCAAGAGGTGGAACACCTGGAGAGCTGGTGCAAAGAGAATAACTTTCACATCAATGTGAAGAAGACAAAGGAGATGACTGTGAACTTCAGAAGGAACAAACACATCTACACCCCCCTGAACATAAGAGGATCTGTGGTGGAAGTGGTCTCCAGCTACAAGTACTTGGTTGTACACATGAATGACAACCTCAGCTGGAGCAACAACACCACCAGCCTGATCAAGAAAGCTCATCAGAGACTCTACTTCCTCAGACGGCTGAGACGAGCTGGTCTGGGAAGCTCAGTCCTCACCTCCTTCTACAGGTGTGCAGTGGAGAGCATCCTGTGCTCCTGCATCAACATGTGGCATGGAGGCTGCACAGCTGCAGAAAGAAAAGCTTTGCAGAGAGTGGTGAAGGCTGCACAGAAGATGTTAGAGTCAGTCTCCCCACCATCACAGACATCTACACCTCCAGATGCAAGAAGAGGGCCCCCTGCATCATGAAGGACCTCACTCACCCAGCACACACACTTTTTGTCCCGCTCCCCTCAAGCAGGAGGTTGAGGAGCATTAAGTGTAGAACCACTAGACTGAGGAACAGCTTCTACCCTGAGGCTGTTAGACTCATGAATCTCTAACCAGAATAATCACTGTGAAAAAAATCACATCATGTTGCTGCTGATCTGTTTCATGTTGCTGCTGATCTGTTTCATGTTGATGTGTTCATGCGTGCACATCTGCTCACACAGACTCATGTCCGTGCTGCTGTTTGACATAATGTTTTTATGTTACGAGTGCTCAGTGTATATTTAGTTGATGTTTTTCTTAGTTCATATCTTAGATGTTATTACTGTTTTTCTTATACATTTTATTGTTGGATGTAACTGGGACCCTGTGTACATAATTTTGTTCCACCACATGTACCACATGAGGTGCGAACGACAATAAAGAGTCTCTGACTCTGACATACAGTTATTTACTTACAAGTAGATAACTCTTGTTTTCTACCTGAATGATTGAGCCTACAAATCTTTTTTCTGAACCATTTTGGCCTTGGTGTCCTCAGGTTGTTTCTGTGAGTAGCAAGTCGGCCATCTGACCTAAAACATTTGATTATTGTACATGATGATTGATTGTTTTGGGTGGATAGGTTATTTTGCATGTGTTAAAAACCTGCTTCTGAGATTCTAACAGGAGGTTGGCTTGAAACACAGCAATGAAGGCTACTTATGACAGATCTGGTTGGCAGGCCACAGACTGATGAAGTCTTCTGGATGGAAGATGAAATGTTTCTCTCTCAAAGAAACTGATCCAGATGAAATGATTTAACCTTTTGTGGTGTTATCTACCTGGATGACTGAGCCTACTAACCTTTTTTCAGCAAGTGAACATTTGATTATTCCATCCATCCATCCATCCATCCATCCATCCATCCATCCATCCATCC